GGAAGCAAGCCCTCACATGAATGGTAGCAGGGTGTTTTACTGTTGGCATGATGCAGGACTGATTGTAGCACTCCACCTTCTCCTCTCTGCACAGTCATGTTTCTGGATGCCCCAAACAGAGAAAAGGCCAGTCTGTCCTCCATGTTTTTGTTGCGACTTCTTTGGCCTGCTTGAAAAAAGACCATCCTCCAAAAGCCTTTGCTTCACTGTGCATGCAGATGTCCTCACCCCTGCCTGCTGCATTCCTGACCACGTTCTCATTACCTTTAGCAGACAGTGCTTGCTGGACACGAAAGCCTTCTTCACAACAACTGAACTTCTACTAGCAGCAGTATCGTTTTATGCAAAGCAAGGATGACTGCTCATGTTTCCTTGCAGGTAACTATGGTTAACAAAGGACGGACGATGATTTCAAACACTACCCTCCATTTAAAGCATCCAGTCTGCTATTCTAAGGGCTTGATTACACTCCATTGTGGACACAAACACTGACAGCTGGAGACCCAACAGCCAAGCAGTCTGCTTAAAGTTGGAGGACGCCCAAATGGTCTCCACAGACAAACCAGTGCGGTCAGAAAAACAGGCAAGCATGCAGACACCTGCAGGGACCCTCGCACTAATTGTCTGATGATTAAACTACTGACCAGTTCACAAAGGAAGAACATCTAAACTCTGCGTGATTTCCAGCCATGTTCTTATCAACACTCACCTGCGTTAATGAGAGAATCACTAATGATGTCAGAGTCCATCTGTGGCAGTGGAAATGGGTTTTATAGGAGTATGTTCATTTTCATGGCAAAGATGAAACACATGCACGCATTCGATCACTCGTGATAATATTCTGCTGTACATGCAGATTGCCAGCAAACTTTGTGATAACTTGTGTCGTTCTCAAAACCTTTGACTATGATTGTACTACATTATCAAACGCACCCTGAATTTCAAGGTAGGTTTATTAGGTTTAGTGCAGTTTCATATGGTAGTCTGTGGTAACCTGCTCAACAGCTGAAAATCCCATCTGTGGTATTATTAAATTCCCCCACAAGAGGGCAGAATACTTGCAGCTTTGGCTTTTAGATGAAGTCTCAGTCTGTTTAAGGATTTCTTTGATGGTCACATCTTATCTTGTTGATCATGAAATCATTACAAATTATTACTGTCGCTTTACTCCAAGGATTTAAAAGCACAGATGCCATTTATTCAAATATTTCTCTGTCATTTGACTTTTTGAAACCAGTAACAGATTTTTGAGCAAGAAAGTATGAAAACTTCTTTCTGTTAATAAATAAATAAACAGCATTTTTGCAGCTATAATTTCAGATTTTTATCTCAAAATGCTGATTTACTATGTCAAATTTCTCCAAATATAGTTCATAACTGAGAAAATCACAATTTTGGAATAATAATTCTGACTCATGAACGACAAAAATATTTTTGTCAGTGGTGAAAACAAACTTCCATAACAAAGTGATCAATCATACATCATACCATACGTTATCCATATTCACAGTTACGTGTAATGAAAAAACATCAGTTTTAATATGTTTTTCTCTCTTTTTTTTAATGTTCATTTGTGCATTTTTCTCCATTTAGGAGAAAAAGAAATGTCATCTTATGACATGATGGCTGATGTGTGGTCCTGAGCCTGTGGACTGGTTTTGGTTCTGATGATTATTATGTTATGTTTCATTCTTCTTAGGATTTCCTCCTCAGAGTTTGGTTTCTGTTCTGTGTCTCTGTGTCTGTCCCACGGCTCTGTTCTCTCCCTGTTGCCATGTCTGTTGCTTTAGTGTTGAGCTGGTGTCTGTGCATACCTGTTGTATTTCCTGTTTTACTTTGATAGTCCCTGTCCTGTGTGGTTTTGCTTCCCTCTTGTCTCATCAGCTCTGATTTCTCCCAGCTGTGTTTCCCTGATTGCTCCTGTGTGTATTTAAGCCCTGTGTGTTCTCCTGCTTGTTGTTGGTCTGTCTGTGTCATTACTGTGTAGCTTTCTGCATGTGGTCGCTGCATGTCGTGCTCTCAGTTTAGGGTTTTCAGTGTAGCCTATGTTTAGCTCTTGTTTGTGTTTGGTTTTGCCACTCTGTAAATAAAGTTAAGTCCTTCTCTGCACTTCACACGTCGCAGCCGTGACGTCATTATGAAAACATCACCTCGTTCCTATTATGGCTTTGTGTTGCTGATATGACACATTTACTTTTCTATAGAGCAGGGCTGAAAGCCATTAATGAGCAGTTAAAAGTGACCGTCTCTGTCCTTAAAGGCTTTAGCTTAAAAGGTAAAGTGTTGGATAACTAGTTGCCTAGCAGCACTAGTTCTTCTTAACTGTAACAGCTGGAGAGGAAATTAAGGCAAAAACATATCAGAACAACTGTGGGCCGTGAAATCAAAACGACAGCCTAAAATACAAAAGGTATTGTTTGGGTCAACGAGGGGAAGTGACTGATGTGTCCAACACATTCAGCACAACGGAAATAACACAGCAAGCAGTTATTTTGTCCACAGTCACAACAGAATTTAGAATTTGATCAATAAAAACTGAGATGAACACATGACGTCAGTTACATCACGTCCAAGTCGCCACCACGGTCAGTATGAGCTGTGCTTGGATTCATTCAAACAAGATTAATGTGTTACTGTGATACAAGTCAAGCTCAAACTCACAAACCTGGTTATTTGACTAAATCACCATGGTAACTTCAAGCCCAGCATAACAGAGAAAGTCAGTAACAACCACAGTGATGTAGTGACTCCTGTGCAGTTTAATCCTCAGGCTGGAACAATGGCAAAACTTCTGCTTGTATGTCCGTGGTCGTGCTTAATAAAGTGTATTTGAATAGCAGCGCCGCAGTCCTCTGATACGTCCCCTGTCCTTGCTTTTCTAACGTTGTCTCCTAGGGCCTTCATGGCCAGCCCCCTGAAGATCGGCTCGTAATCTGGGGAGAGCCACAGCTTCAGTTCAACACTTCTCTCCAGCAGTGAAAGAGCCACTGGCTGCAGCTGATGAAGCTCAAAGTCTGCTAACTACGTCTCCTGGTGGCATCAAAAAACCAAAACTGAAATATTAACCAGGGAAATCAGCAGCTGGGGAACACGAGGCACATGAACAGAATCACAATAACAACACACGGGTGACGTAAAACTACATGCAATAAAGAAAAAAGACAGAATTACCAAAATAAAACGGGGGAAATAATGTGAGAGGTGAAACCTCGGTCTAATTACTGGGTTGAAAGCACAGCTGCAGGTAACCGAAGCCTCTTTATGTTTGAACACAGAGATGTGTGTGTTTCAGCTGAAGGAAGATTGATTTGGTATTATATCCTGCTGATGAAGAGCCCAGACAGGATGTTTTGCTTGGTCAATGAGGAGCTTGATACTAAGCAACACTAACTACTAACTTTATGTTTCACTCCCATCAGAAACTCGTAGTGGGCCTACCTGTTAGGCTGAACCCTAACCTGGAGACAGGTCATCTAAAATAAGGATTTTGTTCAACTGGGAGCAATATTCCCTCCAAGATACCACATTTATTTAAAATACTTAGTGACATGCTTTCATTCACAGATCACCAGGCTGCTGCTTTGCTGACAGGGAGAGCAGGATGAGGTCATTATACACTTGTGGCTGCTGTAATTTGTTTTTAATGGCTTTTAACTTGACAGCTTAGAGCCAAGTCACGTGTTCGTGTGTTTAGTCCTTATATGTTACTGCCTGTTAGGGATAGTGGAGATTAGGCAACAACTAACCATCTGTGTTTAGGAGAAAGCTCAGAAAACTAAAAGAAACCCTGGGCCTGAGCTCCAGGGACCATGGCACCGTTAATAAGCAGTCAGGTGTTTGTGGCCTGAAACGATTTGAAATTCTGAGCACTGCTCACACCTGCACCGAGCTCCAGTGTTAGCCACACTTAGCCGGGTCCAGATGTCAATCCTGGAGCTGACCTCTGGAGAAAGCTCGGACTGTGAGCCCCAGACACACAGCACTACACAAGCAACACTACAAACTGAGTACAGTATAACCTTTGTGTTAAGCAAAAATTGTGTTTTGGGAGTATTTTTAATCAGTCCTCACAAAGGTGTTTTCTATCCAAACATAGCTCATATCCAAGGTATGGACATTGAGGCTGTGGACAGCTACAGGTACCTTGGTGTTCATCTGAACAACAGACTGGACTGGACTCATAACTCAGACGCCCTCTACAGGAAAGGGCAGAGCAGGCTGTACCTGCTGCGGAGACTCAGGTCGTTTGGAGTGGAGGGCCCACTCCTGAAGACCTTCTATGACTCTGTGGTGGCTTCTGCTATCTTTTATGGTGTGGTCTGCTGGGGCGGCAGCATCTCTGCTGGGGACAGGAAGAGACTGAACAGGGTGATCCGAAGGGCCAGCTCTGTTCTAGGATGCCCTCTGGACCCAGTGGAGGTGGTGAGTGACAGGAGAACGGCGGCTAAGCTGTCATCCCTGATGGACAACATCTCCCACCCCATGCAGCAGACTGTGACAGCACTGAGCAGCTCCTTCAGTGGGAGACTGCGGCACCCACGGTGTGGGACGGAGAGATTTCGCAGGTCTTTCCTCCCCACTGCTGTCAGACTCCACAACAAAGACTTTAACTGAACAAACACACACATCCATACATATGCAATAATACTAAGTGCAATAATCCTTTCTGTCATCGTTGTATTTTTACTCAGTTGTATATAGTATTTGTATTCTATTTTATCTTATTGTATATTTATTTTATTTTATTCTACTGTATATAGTATTTTATTCTATTCTGTACAGTTGTGTACTGTATTTATTCTTATTGTATTCTAATTTTTGCCTCATAACCTTTGCACTGTCCACTTCCTGCTGTGACAAAACAAATTTCCCACGTGTGGGACTAATAAAGGTTATCTTATCTTATCTTATCTTATCTTATATCTACAAACGTGCCAACACATCTACAGGCCACACTTCCTCTGGAGAAATGTCTTCTTATTGTAAAGAATCATTTGGCTCCACCTCCTGCTTCTGTCGCCCACTGGTCGCCCCCCATACACGTCTTTCCGGTCGGGCTTGATCTCGTCTCCGTGCTGCTAGTACTGAAGAAACAAACGCTCCATTCTGTCGTCTTTTATTTGTGTAGTCAAATAAAAGGTTCGTTTTTCTCTTTGATTGTTTTACGGTTTGGGGACAGAACCGGAGCACTTTCCCGTCTCTGACCGGAGGAGCAGCAGGAGCTCGGCGGAGGAGAGAGAGGCAGGCGGAGAGCGCCGAGCATCGGCTGGATGCAATACAAAGGTAACGAGGCTCCTCTGTGAGCGGACTGCTTGTGTTGTCAGTGGAGACGGAGGAACGGTGTTTTTGCTACGGAGAGCAGAGGATGTGAATCGCCAGTGAGAGCGTGATGGCCGAGCAGGAGGCGCTCTGTTGCAGCAGCATCGAGCAAAATGTCCCCGGGTCCTGGTTTGAGGAGTGAAAGCAGAGTGGCTATCCTTCGTTCCGCAGACTCCATTACGCACCAGCTGCTGCTCCTAAATGCGTTCATTCCTGTTTCCGCTCTGTTCCCGTTCACGCTGTGAGAGGATGGCTGGCTGGCGTTGAGGAGAACCAGTGTCGGCCCCTCGCTGGCTTCTGGATCGCGTGTTCTTCCTGCGGCAGAACCACGGACAGCGACGATGACTCGGCTGCGCAGGAAAGCGCTGGTGGCGCTTTTCCTCTTCACGCTCTTCATTTTTGGGACCATGATGGGCCTGAGGACGCTGAAACCCAGCGACGGCTTTTCGGACCTGGCTCCTGGTATGGATTTCATCGGGGAGAGGTCAGAGAGGAGGCGGCTGGATGTGAAAGACGTGGTGGTTTCCCCAGGTCAGTTCCACATGAGCAGCAGCGACACGAAGGTGGTTTTCACCAGATCGGACCGGGAGTACAGCATATTCTACGACGTCCACATCTTCTACTACCTGTGGTACGGCTCTCCCAGCGTGGACAACAAGTACATCCACTGGGATCACGTGCTGGTGCCACACTGGGACCCAAAGATCGCAGCCAGCCATGCTCAAGGAAAGCACACGCCTCCGGATGACATTGCCTCGAGTTTCTACCCCGAGCTGGGACCCTACAGCTCGAGGGACCCGAAGGTGCTAGAGTCACACATGGCCCAGATAGAAGCGGCCGCAGCGGGTAAGCACTGTTGCAACATTGGCTCTGTGTGTATGTGACAGAGTCTCGGCTCTTTGAATGCTAAGTGCAACGAAGCATGTTCATGTTGAACTATCATAACTAAAAGTATCCAGATTAAATGTAAAATATAAAGTTTCCAGTGCTGTGAAGAGTAAAACAGTGTTGTCCTCTATTCACGGTGAACTAGAAGAATGCAGTTTCATTTACTATGCATGAATATGCACCATAACGCTGCTGATCAGGTTTATTCACGCGTATCTCGGTCCGTTTGGTCTGCAGCACTAGTCCTGTGGGGCTGTGGGAGTATGTTAGAGGGGCACCGTGTTCACAGGCTGCACTTTCTAAATAAAATGCCTCTTCCACATGGATGGATGAACACACTGACTCTATGCAAACATGCAAAACTTCAAGATAAGTTTGCTTAGAGATGGTGATAAAACACCAGTGTCTGATCAGGAGATTTACATGGTAAATATTGTTTCATCAATATTACAGAAAGTTCCCTCTAATTAAAATAAAAAAAGCAAACCAACATGTGTAAATTTGAGCATCTTCAGGCGAGCCTCCTGTATTTGCATCAGTGCCACAGTCTCTCACTTCCATCTGGTAAACCTTGTTTCACTCTCGCTGCTCTCCTTCTGTCACAAATCTCCACCGTCTTCATTTCTCTTGTGCACCGTGCGTTGCTTTGGATGGTTGACCCCAGGTTTGTAAACTTGTGATCATATCATATAAGTAAGGAACTGGAACAAACCCACAGCACCCGGGTCTGCCCAAGGACCCCAAGTAAAGCAAGCTTTACTTGGTCCTAAGGACCCCAAAGCGCTTTACACTATACACAATCACTACAGTGTATAGTGTATACAGTGGCTACACTACACTACAGTGTAGCCACAGCTACCCTGGGGCGCACTGACAGAGGCGAGGCTGCCGGACACTGGCGCCACCGGGCCCTCTGACCACCACCAGTAGGCAACGGGTGAAGTGTCTTGCCCAAGGACACAAGGACCGAGACTGTCGGAGCCGGGGCTCGAACCGGCAACCTTCCGATCACAAGACGAACTCCAAACTCTTGAGCCTCGATCGCCCTTTATTACAACTCAAAGGTTGCAGTTCACAGCACACCCGCTGCAAGCTCAACACAACCAACAACCTGAACACAGGACCCAGTACAATATTTAAGGCTACGTCCACACTAGGGCTGCCACAAACCATTATTTTGGTAGTCGACTAGTCACCGATTATTTTTGCGATTAGTCGACTAATCAGATCATCATCCACTGGACGTAAAACTACAGCTTATATAACTATCATTAGCTTACAGCTTTAAGCTTTTAAGGTGCTAACTAAAAATAAAGACAAGATGATAGTTTATTCAATTTTAATGAAATTTGCAGATTGTTTCGGTAAAGTTTAATAAACTCCGTGCTATCTAAAATATAACAGGACACCGGAGTATATTCTCGAGCATCTCACACTTCTGATAATCAGCTGTCTGCTTGACGTTTATTCAGCTGTGTAAAAACTTTAATCTCAGCCAAACCGATTTACTCAGGAACAAATAAAACACTAAAGAAAAAAAAGCCAAAGAATAACATTTTAAGTTATCTAAGTGACTTATATATATTTAACCTGAGTAGCGAAAGACGGCGGTGGGTTTGAAAACAATTTGCCGGGAGTCCGGTGTTCTCACGGCTCTAGTGAGCCTAGCCCCCGGCTAGCTATCGAGCTAGTGGGTAACAGACGTCTCCGAAAACGTCGGAGCGCTTTTGAAAATATGTGGTGTCCTGATAAACTGAGCAGATATTTGAGGTTTACACAGCTACATTCTCGGCTGAAAATATGTTAAACGTTTATTTTGTGACCCAGAAAGAATAATAAGAGTAATATTAAAACTAACTAGCTGCCGCCATTGTTGGAAACTAAGCTGGGCCGCGCTATGAATTCTGGGACACAGCTGCTTCTTCTTCTTCGGGGTTTAACGGCAGCTGGAATCCTTGTACATGCAGTGCTGCCATCTTCTGTTTCAGTCCGTTATTACACTCTTAAATCCTGCTATTATTCCTGCGTCTTTTGCGATCTTACAAAGCTTCAAACGACGCGTCGACTATTAAATCAGTCGTCGACGATTTTGATAGTCGACGTAATCGTGACTAGTCGACAAATCGTGGCAGCCCTAGTCCACACTAATGCGTTTTTAAACGAAAACACATCGTTTTCTCTCCGTTTTGGCCTCCCGAGACGCCGCTCTCGAAAACGCACACATTTCAAAACGGAGCTGCCCCGTCGCAGTGTGGACACACGAAAACGCAGACTTTCGAAAACGATGACGCATGTTGGTCATGTGATGCAGTCATGTGGCCAATTAAACAAAGATAGCGGAGTGCATTATACGGCAGTTGTTTTGATTGCTCTCAATTTTGACAGCCCTAAAAAAGATGAATATCAGTTTGTACGTGCTCCAGATAGCTTTTCTTTAATTCTCGCTCGTTTTTGCGCAGGACTGGAACGTAAGCGTTTTGGGCCGACTGTGTGGATGCCAAACGTTTTCAGACGAAAACGCCGTTTTCAAATCTATCCGGGCTAGTGTGGACGTAGTCTAAGTCGGGGGGGCATGATTGCGGATACACGGAACCGCAATCCACGCCCGCCACATACCCCCATCGCCCGACTGAGGCCAGGGAGCCATCCGGCCAAACCTAATCCCCTCCCCCCGCGAGCGGGAGAGAGACCGTCGGCGTCCCCAGCTCCAGGTCCGGCGACAGGGGGGTGTGAGTTCAGGTGGTCGCCCGCGGCTCCAGCGGGGCTGGCGAAGCTGGTCCGGAGGTTGGTCGCATGGCAGGTGGTCGCGGCTCACAGGCGGCTGGGCTGACGTAGGATCAATTGGCGCGCCGGCCTCTGGTGGAGATGAGGCCGGTCTGGCCAGCATGCCGCCCTCAGACTTGGCGGGGCAGTCGCACGGCACGCCCTCCGGCCGAGCAGGCTCCTCCTCTTCCGCTGCTCCCGGCTGGAGCAGCTAGTGGTGGGCGGATCCAAATATCGATTATACCAATGCCAAGTTGGCGGATCGATACTAGCCTGGTGAGATCGATTCTTTAAGTTCCGCTCTTGTTTGCGGTGCTGTCGTTTTGGCAAAGACGAAACAGCCAGCGACTCGCTGCACCTGTGTCAGCGCAGAGCAGGCACACTTTGCTCCCCTCCTACCTCTTGTGTTTAGATGGTGCGCTGTCACGTGACGTGCCTTAGACGCGTTGGGGGTTGTTAAGTTGTTTACATATTATTTATATTTTTATCAGCTCTTATTGTTGTTGAGAATTTTAATTGTAAATTTTGTATTATAGTTTCTCAACAGTGCTTGTTTAGATTTTTTAACTGGTTTGCGGAATTTATTGTAACATTTTTATTAAAAAAAGAAAAAGATAACTAAACCGCCACGGCAGACCCGATGGCATTTTCATGCTTCACAGCATCATTTATTCTTACAATGATCACACGGCTGTGTGGCACGGCTACAGTACATTCTGCTGCAGCTCTCCCGCTGCCAGCCGTACACATCACTATCAACAACAACACAAGCAGAGCACAGGTTTTAAGTCGGCGAGGCGTGGTTGTACATGCCGTGCAGGTGAGTCCATCTCATCGCAGAACACACCCCGCCACATACCCCCTTCGCCCCTGAGGCCGGACCAAACCTACTCTCCCCTCCGCGAGCAGGCGAGGGCCCGGACCATCGGCGCCCCAGGCCCCAGCTGGGCAGGCGGTCGGCGTGCAGTACCATGCAGCATGCTCTGTTGGAAGAGAGGCTAGACCGGACAGCACACCGCCCTCGGGTGTGGCAGGACCCCCACGCACCTCCGTCTCCAGCTTGGCAGGTCCCGCTGGTACGCCAGCCTCGGGATCACCCCGAACCAGTCCTTCCTGTGCGCTGTCCACCCTTACAATAATCACACGATTTCTCTGCATTCAACTCTGCAGCTCTCCCGCTGCCAGCCGTACACATCACTATCAACAACAACACAAGCAGAGCACAGGTTTTAAGCCAGAGAGGCGTGATTGTAGACGCGGTGCAGGTGAGTCCATCTCACCTGCCCTGGCATCGCAGAGCAGCCACAATAATTTCTACTTTGTCCTAATTATGTCCTGGGTTTTAACTATTTAATAATGAAAAAGGAAACATCACAAAAAACACTTAAGGTCATAAAAATAAATTGAGATTTAGCAATTCAATGGCGTATCCACCTTATTTATTGAGTATCGGCGATACTGGCCCTTATGTACTTGATATGGGATCGATACCAAAATATGGAGTATCGCACACCACTAGGAGCAGCTCCTCCACCTCTGTCAGGTGCGGACCCTCACGCACCTCCTCTGCAAGCAGGCGCAAACCCTCGCGCAGCTCCTCCCCTTTCTCCTCCTCCTCAACCAGCAGGCACGGATCCTCACGCTCCGCCTCCTCTTCCTGCGACGGCTTGGCAGGTTCCTCCCGCGCTCTCCGTGCACTGACCTCCAACTCGGGCTGAGCAGTTGGGTAAGCTGTTGGTGGACCCAGTGGTTGCTCGGTGGCCCTCCTCCGGGGAGCAGGAACAGGCGCAGGCCCCAGCCGGGTACAAGCCGCTCCCACCCCAGGAGTGGGGATGGGTGCGGTGGCAGGTCCTGGCTGGTCGCAACCAGTGGGGGTGGCGGCCATGTTGGCCAGGACTGCATCTGAGCTGCCAGACTCGCGATCCTCTGCGTGCGGCGCTCAACCAGGTCCTCCAGTTCTTCCTGCCAGCACCACAACACTGCCGCCTGCTCCTGCTATGTTGCCACCATCTGGGTCAGCTCCTTCCCCGGCTGGCCCGCGGGTCTGCTGTGTCCCCGTCCTGGGTTTCAGCACCGCTGTAACAAACCCACAGCAGACCCGGGTGCATGTTCACGCTTGGCAGCATACTTTATTACAACTCAAGGTTGCCGTTCACGACACACACCGCCACCGCGGGGTGACTGCTTGCACACGGCCAACCACCGGACCAGCGGCGCCGGCACCTGAACTCACACCTCCCTGTTGCTGGACCAGGGGTGGGGACGCTGTCGCTCCGGGCCGATTTTCCCTCTCCCGCTCACGGAGGGAGGGGAGTAGGTTCGGCCGGATGGCTCCCTGGCCTTAGTTGGGCAATGGGGGTATGTGGCGGGGCATTGCCTGCAGTGCTGTGCAGGGAAGGCGGACGCACCTGCACGGCATCCGCAATCGTGCCCTGCCGACTTAAGTATTGCACCGGGTGCTGTGATAGTGGTTGTTGTTATGTTGAGCTGCAGCTCTGTGTGTGGATGTACAGCAACCGTCAAAGCATTAATAAAATATGCTGCAAACCATGAACGTGCACCCGGGTCTGCTGTGGGTTTGTTACAGGAGCACTGACTGGAAGTTCTGATATCGCCTGTTTTTCGCTTGTCTGAATCTCATTCACTACAGTGAGAGCTAACTGTACAGTCTTCATCCTCCTTTCCTTTTGCTTTGCTGTCTTTGAAGGAGTGCTGGTTTTGTCCTGGTATCCTCCAGGGGTGGGGGACGACCACGGGGAGCCCACAGAGGACCTCGTTCCTACCGTTATGGACGCTGCCCACAGGCACAGCATCAAGGTAACTGGTGAGACAACCGGTATGTTTTCCCCTTTCTGACGATTTACTGAATTTCTAGATGGCTTGCCAGTGTTTCCTGACTGTTAATGTTAAGAACAGTATTGATTTGAATCTCTTAAAAATCAGCTTTGTGGTCACACTTTGACTTTGTGATTATTTAGACATCATCAACCTGAAGAGCAGAAAGATAACACTTAATAAAAAGAATTGATGAACGTGTAGAGGGGTTAGAGTCTAGAAGACTTTAGAAGACTTTTAGAGTCTTTTAGAGTCTTCCAGATAAGTATCAAGGCTGAGGATACACTGTACAAGTCCTGTATCTATAATGTGATTTATATCATGCTTTATAAATATGGAGGCACAGAATAATGACAAACATGCTAAAAGTAAGAGTACTTACATACTCTAAGTATTTACGTAGTTGCATATACGTACACAGATATACGTATATGCAGCTGAGAAGGTTTAGAAACACATTTCAGTGTCTGTAGGTGCAGAAATATTGGACGTGGTCAGAGTGACAGATTATTTTAAAAGGTTTTCTTTTTGTACCCAAACATTAATGGCCCGCATTCTGTCACTCGCCAAAGAGCCAAAAGCAACTCCGGTTACCTTGAACATAGAACAGGTGTTACACATCGAATATACTGAAATACTCGAATACCTCAAACTAGTATCTGCAGAAACGCAGTGTGAGTGAAGAATTCAGCTGTGACATTGATTTTGTTGATTAGGTATTTCCAGTGTTGGGAAGGTTACTTTTAAAATGTAGTAGTATTTATTTATTTATTGTCATTGTCAAGAACAATGAAATTGCGTTTGGGGCTTCCATACAACCCAAAAAAAGAAGAAAATAATAAATACCCCTTAAAACCCAAGTGTACATATTTATTATTATTATTATTATACTCCAATGCAATAAGACAATCCTTAGCAATAATGTTCGTAGAAATTCAGACAAAGACCTGAGAAACATGACAAAATACAACAATGCAACCCGTTCAATATTATTGTACTGTGAGATATGATATCAGATATGATAGTTATCTATTTAAGAAAGAGGGAGGGGGAAGAGAATAAAAATATGATGTACTCCACTACAGATTACAGATTACATGCCCCAAAATGTATTCTGTAACGTACTCTGTTACGTTACTCAATGAGAGTAACTGATTCTGAATAATTTGGATTACTTAATATATTATCATGCTTTTTACAACTACATGAATGTTGCTGTGATTTATTACTATTACTGAAGGTTACTCGCCATTTTTGCAGTGATCTCGTATAGAAATCAGGTCCGCGGCTCCGAGCCGTAGTAAAGGGGCCTCTGACTAATACGTCGGGTTCGTGTCGGCTCGTAGCCGAAAACTAGCTTCACTTTGTTGTCTGGGTCAACTTTGCTAGTGAGAGACAGAGAGAGGCGTTGAAAGGCTGCTCATACGGAGCTTATTGTTTCAGAGGAAACAGTCGAGTCTTAACAGCTTACTCACAGCTGGGCTTCACTGCCCATCAGGCTACACTCTTCAGGGCGATGCCTGTAACACTCTGCCTGTTGCCTTCATATTAAATCATTTTTGGATAATTATTTTAAAAAATGTTTCTTCACGTCATTATGCGGCCGCGAGTAGAGGTGACGTGGGCCTGAGACTGAGGCACAGACATTAGAGCCTCTTAATGTGTGTTTGTTTGGGTTTCCACCAGCGTGGAAACCAAAAACAGAGAGGACATAGCCGAACATATGAAACAGGAGAAGACCGCTGTGTAATCCATTTATTTCAGCAAAGTAACTGTATTCTGAATACCACCTTTTTAAACGGTAACTGTAACTGAATACAGTTACTCATATTTTGTATTTTAAATACGTAACGGCGGTACATGTACTCTGTTACTCCCCAACACTGTGTATTTCACTGTGAACGTGTCACTGCATATACTGCTCTTAGACGCTCGCACACTGGGGGATGAGCCTGCTGTGCTAACAGAGAATTACAAAGTAAAATTCACTTGTGTATTCATTGATCATATATATTATAACATGCTGTTGAAGATCTTTGAGGTATTCCTACACAAAGCATATATGTGAACCACTGTGAACTGCTTTGTGTTTGCTAGGTTTGCCTCAGTGTGCTCGTCAGTTTTCCCTCCGTCTGTTCTTGAAAGTCCAGTTTTTCAGCGTTCACTCCACAAACAGTAGCTTGCAGGTAAACCGTGTGTGAAAAGCATGTTTTCTGCAGTCAGAGGGCCTAGTTAGGTTCTCCCTCCCAACACAGGCGGAGTGTCATCAGGTTTTATTGTGGCCATGGCTTTTACGTGACCCACAATTGAGATTTAACAAAATATAGTCTTTATTCATTTCAGAGTTTGGCGCCTATGTTCACCCATAATAACCTGTAAAATCTATCCGAGACTACAAATTTACAGCTTTTATTGAAAATTCATTTATTGCACTGTACGAAGAGTTAGTCCTTTATTTGTTTGTTTGTTTTGGTTTTTTGTGCAAACGACATATAAAAAACATGTATATAATTTTGTCCTTTCGAGGCTTTCTAATATTGACTGCTGCCTGTCCATAATTTAAAGACTACTGAACATTGTATTGGTGATTATAGCTTGCAGTCAGTAGCATTTATTTATTAGCAAAATGAAGAGTCCGTCCTCCTTTTCTCAGGAGTTACTGTCAGCGATGTAGACCTCCTCATCCAAAGTGTGCCACAATGTTCCAGCAGCAAGCAGCCAGTGCTGGCAGTGAGAAGCATTACACTGCAACAGTATTAGACAACATCAGTCAAATGAAAGCACAAAATGAGCCGTTTCACTTGAACTTTGCTTTTACACTTTAACAGAAATAAGAACTACAGCCTAACCTTTAACTGCATGATCTCGGGTGCATCGGCTGCTTAAAGCCCTCCTTCGCCATCATTACCATTTACAGTCCAGCTGTCATACGAGTTTAATGAGCGAGTGCTCGTTTTCATTTGTTGACTTTTCGGCAAACATCACCAGATGCTTGTATCTCCTCCTCATCATAGCAAGGTTGTCCTCAGCTGTGTCTTTTTGCCTCAGGTCTGTTGTGTCCACCTTTAGCAGCTTTCTTGCAAAGCATTGTGCTGGAGGTCACTGAAGGAGCTTCCTCTTTACTGCGCTGCATCAGAGGCTGGCATTCACCTCTCAGACATGTCTCAGCTTTTCTCTTTCTCAGCTCCAACTGAAACAAGGTCAGAGCTCCTTTAGCACTAGCGGCTGTCAGATACCATAAAGCCATTAAATGTTGAAGGTGCTCGAGACAGCAGTGGCAAAATGAGCAGAGCCCCGTGTGGAGGACAGAAAAGCTTTCTCTTGGTCTACTTTTCATGCTTCCTTATATGGAAGTCTTAGTTTGAGAACTGGGTCTCTTTGTGAGTGTTAGTCAGACTTACACAACAGTGTGTATCTCACAGCTGACCTGAGCACTAATGCTTTCATGATTCAGTGCTCCAGAGCTGCTGCTAACAAAATACAAGTTTATCTGTGTTTGCTTTCTCTGCACATGTCATATGCATATGTTTGGGAGCTGCTTGTCCTGTGATGCAATGAAAAAGACGCAGCAGGAAACTGTCTGCCCCTCTGCCACTATATGAACGTGTCACAGAAATGACATTTTACAGACACAGGATCCCCTCCAGTGTTACACAATCTAACTAACCTCCTAACTATTGAGCTGGGTGCTATGTTGCTAAATAAAGTGCTGGCATTGACACTGTCTGGAAACTGGAACGGCAAAATAAAAGCTGTACTGACAAACAGTCTACAGCTGCTTTTCATGAAGCTTTAAGGCTCAATAAGAAAAATGGCCTTGTGCAGAATATAGGATGCTTTAGGTGATCAGCACCCAAGTTAGACTCCATCCCCTGAGCTGGGCCTTTATGTGTAGAATGTTCTCCCTGTGTCTGTGTGGGTTCTCTTCAGGTACTCCGGAGAGAACCCACATGCAGTTAGTGGGGTTTGGTTCATTAGTGATTGTGGTGTGAATGTGGTAGATGGGAAAGTTTCCATCCCCTCACGGCACTGAATTGGATAAGCGGAGGATGGATGGGTGGATGCATGGACGGAGGGAGGGATGATGAATGAATAGAACATGGATGTAGGGAGGGAGGGATGATGGAGGGAGGATGGATGGATGGACGGATGGATGATGGATAGATGGACGGATGGATGGAGGGAGGGATGATGGAGGGAGGATGGATGGAGGGATGATGGATGAATAGAAGATGGATGGATGGATGATGGATGGGTGGATGCATGGATGGATGGAGGGATGACGGATGGATGGACGGAGGGATGATGGAGGTCGGATGGATGGAGGGAGGGATGATGGAGGTCGGATGGATGGATGGACGGATGGATGGAGAGAGGGATGATGGATGAATAGAAGATGGATGGATGGAGGGATGATGGATGGATGGACGGAGGGATGATGGAGGGAGGATGGATGGATGGATGCATGGATGGATGGAGGGATGATGGATGGATGGATGGAGAGAGGGATGATGGACGGAGGATGGATGGACGGATGGATGGAGGGAAGGATGATGGATGAATAGAAGATGGATGGATGGAGGGATGATGGATGGGTGGATGCATGGATGGATGGAGGGATGATGGATGGGTGGATGCATGGATGGATGGAGGGATGACGGACGGAAGGATGGAGGGAGGGATGATGGAGGGAAGGATGGATGGATGGACGGATGGATGGAGGGATGCTGGATGAATAGAAGATGGATGGATGGATAGAGGGAGGGATGATGGATGGATGGATGGACGGATGGATGATGGATGGATGGATGGAAGGGTGGATGGATGGAGGGAGGATGGATGGATGGACGGAGGGATGATGGATGAATAGAAGATGGATGGATGGAGGGATGATGGATGGATGGACGGAGGGATGATGGACGGATGGATGGAAGAAGGGATGATGGAGGGATGATGGATGGATGGACGGATGGATGGAGGGAGGGAGGGATGATGGATGGATGGACGGGTGGATGGAGGGATGATGGATGAATAGAAGATGGATGGACAGATGGATGATGAATATGTCTCTGTCTACAATGTGCCGTCTCTCAAGACAGTCAAAACCCTTTAACTGGAACTTGATCAGTCAGGCTAGAATCAAAAGTACTGATGTCATCAGGACATTTCCACACTGAGCCAACACCTCTCTGTTACAGAGCTGAGGACGCCTTTGTGCCCAATATCTAGAATAAATATCTACATTTAACCTACAATGACAAAACCAACTCAAAGTGCTCTGACTAAATCGAGTTTGTGCGATTGTCTCTACATTGTGACTGATGAGACTACAAACCATTATACACATTTAACAATTAAATGATCTGACAAACACATTTGTGTCATTTTCTGCTCATTTTATTTCCAAATTAAGAAGCAAATTCTGTGAGTAATTTAGAGTGTCCGATCAAAGTGCATGTCTGCACTATGAGAGGCCCCACAGAGCCGCTGCTGTTACAACCCTCCTTTCAAAATCCGTATATGATGGAGTCAGATTTGCAACCCTGTCCTTTGGTCTGACTGTCTACTCAATACTGCAAGGCCTTTAAAGACCCTGCAGTTTGGGGACAAAGCCCTGACAATCAGACCACCCCCTCTGAGCAAGCACAAGGCGACGGTGGGAAGGAAAAACTCCCTTTAACAGGAAGAAACCTCTGGCAGAACCGGGCTCGATGAGGGGAGGTCTTCTGCCGCAACCTGTGTTAAATAACAGCGTTTGTTACAAACACTGAAACGGCTGCAAATGTTCTGAAAAGAGGATTGTAACTGTTGTAACATTATGAAGGTACCTGAAGGTGGATTCTGTTCATGTGGACGTAGCGTTCACAGCGTTTTCTCCCGCTGTGAACGCTACGTCCACATGAACAGAATCCACCTCTTGGGACTGACTTACCTGGATCCATTGAGTAATTATGAAGATAATCACTCTGTCACTCTGTTTCTGAACAGCCTCCTCAAAGAGCTACAAAAAGAAGCGAGGGCCCTAACGACACAGTTTCTCAGCCTGTCTTTCTGGGAACCTGTGGATCCATTTTGTGCGTTGTCCTCACTGGCAGATTGTTGCGTTTTGTTCTCACTGGCTGGAGAAACGCTTTTGTTACTTTCTAAACGTCTCAGCGCGTGACCGGAGCCGCTCGATGCTTTTAGCTCTGCTTTTAATAGCTCCACAACGGCTGCTACAAAAGTCGCGTCACCCTTTTCCATCACAAACTGAAGCACGTATTTGGATCCAAATATGCGACACAGGTCTTTGTACATTATGATGTACAAGTTTTTTACAGTTTTTAGAGGAGTCAAGTCTCCCCCAATCTTCTCTCTTATATCAGTCACTATCTGCTGAAAATTCAGCTTTACAGCAGTTGTTTGTGTTTTCTCAGAAACGTGAGCGACTAAATTTGCAAGACACAATATGAGAAAGGTATCGGTCTCTGCGGGCGCAGGAAGCGCCCCAGACGAGCACTGCGGGGCGTCGCTACATTTTTCTTCACTCTCTGAACTCTCACGGTCAAGATTTTGGACATCAGTGATTTGAAATGCATCACTGTTGCCCTCGCTACCCACATCTCCCTCACCTACACAAGCTGGAGTCTGTGTGCTTTTAAAAGTCTCTGCAGACTCTGGTTTAAAGTCGTCATCTTCCTCAGAGTTTGGCGAGTCAACAATGCTGTAGCTGTGACTCTCACCATCTACAAAAGGGGGAGCTAAGGTCTTTGTAAAGTCCTTTAAAATGTTCGCTACACTGTGAACCATCCCAACAAAGTTTGTTGGGGATGTGGATCTATCTGACTGCAAGGACGTGGACCCTGTGATACGACTCAGGGCTGAGTTTACGTTCTTTGCAATCGACACTGAAAATAAAGTCAGTAGTTTGTCTGAGTCACAAGACCGCCGTTGCCCAAAACCCAAGACCCAACCGAAGCAGTAATGAAAGATGTTTCTGAGGCTGGCCTGAATATCATCCTCTGTCACCCTGCAGTCACTGCACCCATCAAGCAGAGGTTCAACCTTCATCCTGAAAAGGGAGAGAAGAGAAACGTAGTCATCTTCCCACACTATCACTGCTTTGTGTGGTAATCACTGGGTTTTTCAACAGGACAATGCTGCAGTACACAATGCCCACAGGACGAGGGACTACTTGCAGGAGAATAACATCACTGTTTGGGACCATCCTGCATGTTCCTCTGATCTGTATATTTTTATATATTTTATTTATTGTTTACTCTATTTAATTTGTAAAATATGTGCACACATACACACATACACACACACACGTAGAAAAATATTTAGTATACACATCCAGAAATGCATATACTATTATATATTGTACATATATTTATTAGTTTCAGATGTAGCCATTCTTGTATTTTGCTTGTTTACATTGTTGTATTTGCACAACTCTGTTGCTTGTGAAGCTCGCACACAAGAATTTCACTCACATGTGCTGTACCAATGTACCTGCACATGTGATGTGACAATAAAAGTGATTTGATCTGATCTAAATCCAACTGAGAAACTTTGGGGATGGACGGCAAAGGAAGTTTACAAAAATGACGACAGTTCCAGGCAGCAGACGCCCTTCATGCTTCATCTTTTGTCTCGTTCACATTTCTTCTTGTTGCAGAGACACCGATGTGTCTCTGCACAAGCTGATGTGAGCAAACAAAGCCCTTTCCACAGTGAATACAGTCTTGCCTCGCTGGCATCATTTCTAACCAGTCAAGATTGTTGACAAGCTGAGCTTGAGCGCCAAACGCTACCACGTTGCTATGGAAACTGTTTACAAAGACCTTGAAGCCTCTTTTTAAAAGATGGAGTGGGCGGCGAGCGTTGGCTGTTCACGGCTCGACAGCTCTCTCCCTGCTTCGCTGTTTGAGACCTGCAGCAAAACAAGCGTAGCACAGTTGTTTCAGGCTGACAGAGAGCATCCATCAGTCAGCTCACACTCCTGCCACAGAACAAAACACCCTGCTGTCTGTGAAGGCATGAAGTTATACCACTATGGTGGAGAGGTACATACTCTGTTTAGGTTATAGCTGTTACTCAGTCACCTGATTGTGTTGGCAGACGTGGTGACGGTCCAGGCCATGTCTGCTGCTCCTCCCTCTCTGTCCCAGCATGCTCAGCATGCAGCCAGAGAAACTTGGGCTCTGCCTGCTGTTCTCTATCCTTCTGTCTCTACAACAGAGGAAACACTCCCCTGCTTTTCTTTCTGTGTGTTTATCAGCAGGTAATGTTCTGCATGAATGAAAGCATGCTCAGACTTTGTTCTGCCAGCTTTCTTCACTGTGTCCACCTCACGTTTCCTGAGCTCAACACATGTGGTGACACATTAGTGTAAAACAGCTGGTTCAGAATAATCACTGTAGTCGTGTCTTTGTGAAACCAAAGCAGTTTTGTAAGAAGGATAAATGTATCAGGCATGTTTCCAACATTTTACTAAGAACTTACCCACTGACTTAAACTCAAACTACACTTCCTCTGTTTATCAGCAGCTCTTTGCAGCTACTTGTTACTGTTCAAAGCACATCTTTCATGGTTCATCAAACACAGCACAGCTACAGTTACAATGTTTCAAACAAGGACAGCAGACAGCATTGGCATGATGTTAAATAGTTTGGTAATTAGGCAAACACACGTTTAAGATGTGGTATCTGCAGAGAGGGTACGCAGTGACAGCAGAGATGCTGCAGCTCGCTGCCATGATTACAGGTACTAACTCAGTCTTTCCTCTTTTCTGGCAGTTCATAAGAAACAGAAAAGAAACACTTTCACCTCTTTAACTATTCTTTCCCAGGTCTTTGTGGATTCAGGTGCTGCTTTTCAGTAACGTCTGTATTGTCATGTGTTCATGCACAGGTGGCTTTTCACATACAGCCATACAAGGGCCGGACGGACCAGAGCATGTATGACAACATCAAATACATTATTGACAAGTAAGCTGTTTTTCTGTGAGTCCCATTACCTCTGAATGATCAAGCTGTCTGTGTCAGTTGGTGCTAACATTAAAAGCCCACACATGTGATGGAACATGAACCCTGATAGATGAGGAACAAGTCATTAAATATAAATGCCCAGACTGTGCTGTCACAGATCAGCAGGTTTCTGCTCCTTCAACTGATTAAAAATGACTGAAACAAACCTTTGTTCTGCGGTTTCATAGTACTGCAGTGTTTGCAGAAGTCAAGCATCATAGAAAGTAGTTTTTAAAGTGCAATATTATAAGATCATTGGTACAAATCCTTTACTTTTGATTTCCCAAAAATATTGGCACCGATATTTGTGTGAAAACCGCTGCGATGACCATCTGCATATTAGGACACAAACTCGAGTCAGTAAAGCTCATGACTCCAACATGTTAAACACACCATGAAAAAAGTGTAGGCATCAGACGCAGACCCGTCCGCACGTTCATGCTTTGCAGCATCTACCTCTTTATTCACAGTTGTTGTTACGAACACGGCTGCAGCTTTTCAGCTCGCACACAAACATACACATGAACAACGACAATATTAAACAGTCAGCACAGAGGCGTGCTGACTGACTTTTGAGGCGTGATTGCAGATGCCGTGCAAGTCGCGGTGCCGCCGACACCCCTGCAGCGGCACCGCAGACCACACCCCGCCACAACAAGGTTTGGACAAAATAGGCGTCTAGGCTGGTGTACTGACCCTGGATCAGCTGACCAGAGGACCCATGAAGTGTCTGATTTCCTGTCCTGTTTATATGTTAGACAGCTCACATATATTTGCAAAGTGAACCAGAAAGACGCTTCAGAAACATGCTGTGATTCGTTCATTTGGTGGCACCGCCCTCCTTATAAATCACATCAACCGCCCCTCCCTGAGCCTGGTTCTGCTGGAGGTTTCTTCCTGTTAAAAGGGAGTTTTTCCTTCCCACTGTCGCCAAAGTGCTGCTCATAGGGGGTCATATGATTGTTGGGTTTTTCTCTGTATGTATTATTCTAGGATCTACCTTTCAGTATAAAGAACCTTGAGGCGAGTGTAGTTGTGATTTGGCGCTGCATCAATCAGATTGAATTGAACTGAATACAGCAGCTTAACACGTCTCATTTTTCTCAGGTATGGAAAACATGGCGCCTTCTACAAATTCAAGTCGAGCACCGGGCGAGTACTGCCTCTGTTTTACATCTACGACTCCTACCTGACACCGCCCGAGTCCTGGGCAGAACTTCTGACAGCTAAAGGCTCCCGCAGCGTTAGAGGCACGCCTTACGATGGGATTTTTGTTGCACTCATTGTCGAGGAACGTCACAAATACGACATCCTAGCCAGCGGCTTTGACGGCATGTACACGTACTTTGCCTCGAACGGCTTCTCGTTTGGCTCGTCTCACCAGAACTGGAAGGCCATCAAGGCGTTCTGTGACGCAAACAATTTGCTGTTCATCCCAAGCGTTGGTCCCGGGTACGTGGATACTGCCGTTCGACCGTGGAACAACCATAACACCAGGAACCGTGTTAACGGACGTTACTATGAGACGTCCCTGCAGGCAGCTTTGTCTGTCCGTCCAGAAATCGTCACCATTACGTCCTTCAACCAGTGGCACGAAGGCACACAAATAGAGAAGGCTACGCCCAAGAAAACTGTGACCCGTTTGTATCTAGATTATCAGCCTAACCAACCAGACCACTACTTGGAGCTAACACGCCAGTGGGCAGAGAACTTCAACAAAGAGAAGGACAAGTGGCTGATGTGAGCGTCAGCTGAGTGGACGGTCTGAGCATCGCTACAACATGATGTTGCGCTCGCTGCCACACCTCTGTGTTCCTCCACACAAAGTTTCCGCTCAGCGCTCTCTTCCTGTTTCGACTGCCTGTCATTTTTGTACATGTTAATAATGACATGCACATGTTGATGCTTCAGGGTCGCAGTGATAAACAGCTAACACTGGTTTTGTGAGTAGTGTGGTTCTGACTACTAAACCCATGTGGATGTGTACAGTAACTCTACTACTCTGTGAGGTTTATGTTGTATTATCCAATGCTCCAGACTGTTCTTTCCTGTCTTTCCATGGTGACAAATTAAACTGTGTGTCTGTTTACAGTTGGACAATCAGTTGCTGATGTGAAAAAGGTCTTAGGCTGCGTTCACACTGCAGGGGAAAGCGCATCAAATCCGACTTCTCTGACCCTCTGCGACCATCTATCCAATCATGGTGTGACGGTGTGAACGGCACAAATCCGATATCTTCAAATCCAATCTGGGTCACTTTGGTATGTGGTGCTGAATCCGATACATATCCGATGTTTTAGAAAGCGACTGCTGTTTGATGGTCACGTCGCATTAAATCCGTCTTTTACGTCACCGACACAAGACAGACGCCGACTATCAGCGCCCGACATGGTGAACGCTTCTATCCAGGGAAACTGCTGGGAAGACAGCGTTGGAGAAACGTGAACATTTTCTTTGTACTGTATAATCTGCAGATTCTGACAGAAATCTGCAGCTAGAAGCAGCGCTCCTCTGAAACAGCAGTAAGGATCATTATTAGGACAAATGTAAATAACAAAACTTTATAACTTAAAGCAAAACTGGGAAACGTGAAGTCTGAAGTCTTTACATTAAGGCCATCAGTCACACATCCTGTTGCTCTGGGTCTAAACAGAGCGTCGTGTGTGACGTCTTCTTTTGTGCACGCGGCCGCTCTGAGCGTTCACACTAGAGCGCGTTTGCTGTCGCATTTTATTTGTCGTGTGAACGAGCAGACAAAAAAATCAGATTTGAGCATCAAGACCTGCAGAGTGAACGTAGCCTAAGAAAGATGTGACGTGAATAAGATGCTCAGTCCAGATGTTTTTTTAAATCACCTAATTTCTTACTAAATTGACTAAAGACACATGAAACCAGAAACTCTTTGTGACAGGGAAGAATCAGTGAGCTTTGAGCTTTTGGTTGTCAGAGACCAAAAGTTATCCAGAGCGTGCAACACCCCAAACTCTTGGTGAGCACATGCGATCATCGGCTGATTGCACTCACTGGTTGTCTTGTGGTTGTCAGTGTGTCTCCAAATAACTGCCATCTAAAATATAAATGCAGATAGACTGCAAGCACATTGCAATCAACCCGAGTTCACTGCAAATGCAACACAGCTTTACATTAGGGATTTGCACAGACCTGGTGTCAGTGTTCAAAGCGACAGCATCATGGCTTTGCTGCACAGAGCGCCATCATTTGGTCTCCAGCCGCCGTTTCCCCAGTGCAGCAGTTCTCTGTTCCTGCTGCTCCAGAGTGGCCAGAGATGAGTCATCACAGCTTCATTCTAACATCTCAGAACTATCGATGTTTACGTTTGGAGTGAGTTTGACAGCTGGGACATGCTTTAGCTGCCTGAGTTTAGATGAGCAGCCAGCCACGAGTCAACAGTCACTACAAGAAAGTTTCCTGTGCCAATGGGCTTTCTGAAAAAGATGCTTCAAAGTTCTGATCACAGAGTCCTACTTGACATAAGCCCCAATATATTTGTCACTCCTTGGAGTGATACTGGAGTAAACTGGGGATCTTTTGCTTCTTAGCCAAATGTGTAAAACACTGCACTATGGAGCCACAGTAGTGAGCTGGTCCTCTAACAATGGCCACTTCTTTCATGTACGTCCATCAGTTACATGTAAGAGCAGGGAGTTAAACGGTCTGTGAAGAAAATCTGAGAGAGTTTAAGAGATAAAAGAGCTGTGATGAGCATCAGGGGCAAAAAAATCAAACTGGGATCGATGGAGAACCTGCCGGTGTCACTGTCGGACACACCAGAGCTAACGGTCAGTGCAGGGGAACATTTTAATGAGGTCATTAAACCTGCTGTGGTTCTCATAATGAGACAGAAAACAGAACAGGGTCGTCTGTCTGGTTCCAAAGGGAGCAGACGTTTCTGAGGACACACAGGACCTCCAGTGATTAAATATTGTAGAAACTTCCATAAAACTAAAACTGATGTTGGTATTTATTAGACATTAACTTGATATGTTTTTATATCTGAGTTTGAGCTGGCACGCTGGACTTCTCCAAGATGCCAGAAATAATCAAGAAATTAATTTCAGGAACAAAAGTTGATGAATAATAAAAAATAAATGACCAGTACTGTCAATTTGAGGCAGTTGTGGTGAAATACATTTGTTAACCAGTGTCTCTCCAAAGCAGCTTTGCTAAACTGTGTTTAGGATATCAAACATCAGCATCTCAGGTTTTTTGGATATTTCCTGCATTTTTCCCCTTTCAGATTAAAAGAAGACACTTTCAAGCTGTTTTTATCAGAATGTGTTTTCATACGGTCTGTAGAGCAGCTTTCATTGTGTAGATGAGGGTTTTTGTGTAATTAACCTGATGGCAGTATTTCGGTGGCGTGCAGTTGGAAGAGAACACATCAGCAGACAAAAGCCAACCAGCCGACATCCAAGCAGCCCGGCTCGTGTGAAGGACTCACTGGAGCAAAGCTGGTCCCTCAGGACGACCTGTTGCCTGGCTTTAATGGCTCTGCCTGTGCCCATGAAAACGAGACGTTCGTGCTGCTGGCAGTGAACATAAATCGTCGAGCCTCGAGTCACCAATCACTGCAAATGTACAGCGTAGCACTTGGAAGGCAGCGTGCTTCTCTCAGAAGTCTTTGTAGAGAAAAAGGCTGAGAAACAGAAAGAAGGCAAACACGAGGATAACAATACTATTCTTATTTGAATGATTACTGACACTAAACAGTCTTACAGCTCCGGTCCTGCTGGTGTGGCTGCTGCGACTGTGCTGGACAAACTCATAGAGACGAACAGTTATTGACTTATTGAAGATGGTTTGCCATCTTCTGTAATGCTCTGATTTCTCACCACCAGCACGTTTCATTTATTCCGTAAATAAAATGCACCGGCAGGTCCACACAAAATGTTTCCACCAACCGTCCCCACACACAGCGTTGAGCCATCTTATGTTTACCTGTTAACAGATCTTTAGAGATTTGACACCACATTTTCAAATGTTTAATATTACAGGTTATTACTCTGATTACACACCAAGTCTGATACCACAGACAGATTAACACAGTTATCCACATATTTCCAAATAACTTTGCTACAGTCTCGGTGGTCACATGCTTCCACATGCATGTAAGTGATGTCAAGAGCACCTTTTCCACTGAGATAAGTAATCTCTTTAACTACATAATGACAAGACTGGATCAACCATAGCTAGCTGAGATAAGCTATGTTTTGACAGGGAACAGAGTGAGTGAGCAAAGGCTGTGTCAGAGGACGTCTCAGTGCAGCTAACTCACTGTGAGGATTCAAAAGACTGTTTGAACATCTCAGTGAGAGCAGTTTGAGATGATCTAACATCCTCTGAACATGATGACTCTTATGAAATGGTCAGCAACAACATCCAGGCAGGCTGTCACGTTTAAAGTCTGCTCAGTTGGTACCAAGGAGCCCACAGTAGTGAACCACCACCAGCAGCCTGAACCGTGGGTACAAGGCAGGACGGTGCTGTTCACTCCAGCTGTGGATTGACAGACACCTTGTTGTAAATGAGTTACGGCTGCCGTCCAATCAGCTTGTCAGAGGACAACCGCCACTCACTCACTGTTTGCTGTTGTTTGGATGATCCTCTGTAAACCCTAAAGATGATTTTGTGGGAAACCTGAAGACCTGGCCTGAGGGGGGAGTATGACCTGCTCACCGTTACCATCGTCTGCCCGTTCTAAACGTGCTGACATGTGTGGTAAAATTTGTAAATTATGATTATCTGTGTCTGTGTGTTGGCCCTGCGACATGTCCCGGGTGGACCCCGCCTCTCGCCCTATGACAGCTGGGATAGGCTCCAGCGCCCCCCGCGACCCTGAAAAGGATCAGCGGACGCAAATGGATGGATGGATGGATATCTGTCAAAAACATAGATAAATTTAACAACCACGGTGCAGGTGCTTTGATACGGCGCCGTGTGTTCATCTGCTGAAGGACGAGCCATTAATCAGAGTCATCTCTTCTGTTCACAATGTTGTCATAGCAAAAGGCAACATATTACAGGTGTGTGTGTGTGTGTGTGTGTGTGTGTGTGTGTGTGTGTGTTAAAATATGAAGGCTAAATCCACCATAGATTTTTTTTCTTTTTAACAAATGTTTTCAAAATATGGGCGTAATTTAAAAATCGACCCTTTATGCCTGTATTGTGTTAGTTTGTCGTGGTCTACAACAGTTGATGGACTCTTCAGTCTACATCCTTTTTCTTTAGTTTTCCCAGAGTTAACGTCACAGATGCAAGAGCGCCATCTGGTGGAGCTCAACAGCTCCATGAACACGATTCAGTGCAAACGATAAAGCTGCTGCATCGCTGACACGCTGGATAGAAGCAGTGCACCTCATCAGTCTGGATTCCAGATTGGAGACAACTAATCTTTTTCTTTCCTCCACAGCCTCAACTACACACGTTAAGATGATGATCAAATGAATGTTTCACTGAAACTGAGATATACTGACTCCTACATATCGATAAATGACTGCTGTTCCTTTGTGATGCGTTGTCATCAAACTAATTAAAACTGTTTTGAATGAATAATCACAGTCGATGTTATCAGAGTTTTAAACTGTAGTTACATAGAAAGGACATAACACACACAAGAGTGGAAGCATATACACCACGGGAACGTCCAGAGAAGAACAGAAGCAAAAGTCCTGTAGCAACATGGAAGTGTCGAGTACAGAGGGATTCACCAAAATCTGTATCTAAGGTTGCTGGACCATATTCTTGTACTTTGAATGAGCAGAGCAACCTGGGCTCTCATTACACCTGCAGCAACTTTCTCTTTTTCAATGGAATAATCATAATAATAATAATAAATCAACTTTTTGATGATGTTCTTTGTCCAGCACCTGTATATTAGAGTCCTCCCTCTGTCGTGTTCGAGGGCTTCGGAGGTTCTGCTGATGGTTTCAGACGTCATTTCCAAATGATCCGAGTCATCGTGGTTGTTGTAAACCAGGCACGGCTGCAGGAGCTGAACCGCCGACTACAGACTATACACAATAGCTTCAGCTTGCAGAACTCGCTCCATCCATACATCAGTATTAAAATATCAAATATGTAAGGGACTATTTTCAGTCCTGTCCTGGTGATTTTAGGAATTGTTGAAGGACCAGGACGAACAAGCGTGCTGACAAAAGTTTCTACTTTATTATGATCATAAATGGTCGCCACATTACAAAGTTATGAAAAGTTGGTGATGCTGTTAAAACCAACTCTACAGCTCACAAAGAAGAAACACGAGTAAACAGGATAAAATCAGAGTTTAAAGCAGCTGTTCAGAGTTGGTGTCTTTCAGCCCCCGTCTACAACAAGCCCTGTCTCTTCAGATCCTCGTAGGTCTTCTTGTTGACCACGTTTCCACTGGAGTCCTCGTACTCTTCCTGAAAAGCACATCAGCAAAAGCAATTAGCAGCTACACCACAACAAAACACAAATGTCTGCTGAGTGTTGGTACCTCTGTGTCTGGCTGCCACCGCTCTGATGCTTTCTGGGACTTGAGCTTTGCCCACACTACAGTGACATAAAACACATAAATACATTAACATCTGAACACGAGCTGCATTCAGAATCTGCTCCAATCAACTCACAGGACACAGCATCCTCGATCTGCGTGACGTTGGCAAAGTGAGCGGTG